ATTCTGGTAAGCATAAGCTTTATAAGTAATGGTATCTGACTTGAACGATGTCATTTCTGACCTATATCATGAACAATTTACAGAAAGAGGCCTTAATGATATGTGAGGGATACTACGGCAATTGAAACTCTACTCAAAGAGGAGAGATGGCTATGACTAAATAACTAAAAATTTATTGCCGGTGGTATATTACCGATTGCTGAGTAATACTAGACTAGTCGCAAGTACTGCCAAATGAGCCCATTTATCCCCGCCCTTGCCAATGTCTAAAACTCAAGAACTGACTCCTAGCTTAATCTTCGACTTTGGTGGGGTCTTAAATCATTTTTTACAATTTTGAATGTTTTACATATATACTTTTCAATTGTACCAGTGAGTAAAAGTGAAAAATTATTGATTCTTTTTGTGCTCCCGATGATGGGGATAGATACGACATTTTGTATTGTGTTCTTTTTTTAGTTTCTAGTTTCTAATTTGGAGAATCAAAATGTCAACTATTCAATTAATGTCATTTTTACGACAATTTGTATTGCCCCAGTTACTGTCAAAAGATTATTTCGAAAAATGGGAATCATTGAAGAATTGGTTTTAGCTATATAGGAATAGAAACTCCACTGAACCCCCTCCCCTGGAAACTTTATTAGTGCCAATTTGCTAGCATGACCCAAGATGAACCATCTTTAACACTTCCCCCAAATTACACTTTTAGAAAACTTAAGCTCACTGATTATTCAAATAATTATTTGGAAACACTTAGAGTGTTAACAACTGTTGGTAATATTGAGGAGCATAGTTTTGCAAATTTGTTTCGGATATGGGAAGAAAACTCTAATATTTATCAACCACATGTAATAACAAACCCCGAAGGAGTTGTGGTTGCCACAGGGATGCTTCTCGTAGAAGCTAAGTTGATCCACGAGTGTGGCAAAGTTGGTCATATAGAGGACATTTCAGTAGCAATTGATGAGCAGGGCAAAAAGCTAGGCAACTACATGGTGAAAAGTTTGAGCACTTTAGCAAAGAGTTACGGATGCTACAAAGTTATTTTGGATTGCTCGCCGCACAATGTGGGCTTCTATGAAAAATGTGGGTTTAAAAATGATGGGGTCGAAATGGTACAGCGGTTTTGATAGCATTTCCACACTAGACAGTATATATATTAATAATGGTACACACACACTGAAAAAACACCAGCAAAGATTCGTCTCATATCTTATCCAAAGTCTATATCATCACAAAGTTAGTAACAATGTCAAACACACAGGTTTGGTTGAATAAAAGAAACTTGAATCACACATACTTCAATTGAAAGAATCGAATTACCTCTAATAACCTGCATTTATCTGTTAGTATTCAACTGTTGACAAAAAGTTATGTCCCTGTATTAGAAAAAAAAAAAATCATACTGTTACACCCATATTCAACTTTTCACCACTAATCTTTTCTTCCAAAGCATCGGATACAGTTACATTTGAAAACACCTAAAATAAATATTAGTATAAACTCTTAACTTCCTCATTACAAAAAAAGAAGAAGAAAAAGAAAAATGCTCATCACATATATATATATATATATATATATATATACATACATCATAACCCCGTAGAGTACCTATCACTTTCCTGGAGCCATTAAGTTGTATTGAAACTTTCTTGTCCATATACTTATATATTGTTAGTATTCCCAATTACACCCAAGTTCGGTTTACATGATAAGTATGTTACATACGCTTTTCAACTCTGGTTCAGTTACCATATTTGTCTATTGTGATGGAAATAGGTGGGGGTGTGGGCGTCTCCTGGGATAGTAATCTACTAATCGATATGAAGTTTATTGAAATAAAGGTAAAACAAACAAAACTGTACCAGAAAGAATGAGAAAAAAAAAAAATAACGAGAAAAAAAAAATGAGAAGAGAAAAGAAGCATATATCATAGTAACAAGAAGGAAGAGATCCTTTAAGAGGATGAGTTGATTTGTTTTGTTTTTTCAGGCTACATATTACAACAACTAAGGACCTATATTGAAGAGAATTCCACCTTCTCATTTTCAAGGTCAAATGTCAATTTGCAGTTCCTTGCTCCTTTCTGCAATTTCTTTTCTAACAATTGCACAAATAACTCATTAGCAAACGTTAGAAGCTGTAGAATAAACGACTTCTTCTCATTTGCCTTGTCATAGTCTCCCAGGGAAATGTAGTTGAAAAACACTTCTTCCACATTGGGTGCCACACTTGCATCCATATCTTCTTCAGCTTCACTACTTGTTCTAACAAAATTCAATGATTTGCCAAAACTCTCATATGCATACTTTTCTACTCCACTAATCATCTCGCGCCGTATATCTTCCCACTCCAACCCCACTAGCTTGTTTCCTATTGATTTCTTGTATTTGAAATATCGATATATCCAATTGCCAAGAATGGTTATCTTTTTGTTGAATGATGCTGTACTTGCTTTTGATGAGGTTCGAACTTCGTGAACCATGGGCTTCGAAAGCTCTACAAGATCGCATTTATGTGCAATAGACTCCGTTTCCAAAGGCTCTACTGGTATAAATGAGGGTCTTTCAAAATACCCTACAAGTTCCGATAAACCCTCGAGTGGAAATTGTAAATCGTATCCACCAAAACTCGAAACTTCCCCTTCTTCCAGGTGGCTTAATACTGGTGCCGTATGTTTAGGCGTAACTGCAAAGCTTAATACATTTTTAGACATCGGTGACAATGTACTAGTATAATTCTTTTTCGCTTTTTTCTTAGAAGGTTGTTGTTGTAGTTGTTGTAGTTGTTGTTGTTGTTGTTGTTGTTGTTGTTGTTGTTGTTGTTGTTGATGATGATGATGATGATGATGATGCTTGTCTTCCTTTCTTTTGCCACCATCTCCCTCTTCTAATTCGCTGTTACACCCTCCTTCCTCGTTTTCTCCACCCGCGCGCTTTTTGGAATTGGTGTGCTTTTTATCCGCGCCTGATTTATTGCCAAGTTTATCCTGGGAACGATGGTGTGCATCATTCGTATGGTCTTCGCTCAAGTATTGCATGCGCGCCTTGTACATCTCATCTGCATACTCAATTTCGTAATCAGTGTCTTTGTCAAAGTTGTCAAGCTCAGACTCAGGTATCAATACATCATCAGGGATTTTACTACCGCCAAATGGATTCAATTCTAAATCTGCTGGGGTAAAGCTTGTTTCCAAAAACGTATATACCAACCAAAGAAACTTCCTAGCTCGTACTTTGGGATCAACTTTTGTATTAACGAAAAAGTCCAACAAATGGAAATTGGAATCATACAAAAACGGGATGCCACTGTTTGCATTTCCCAACAAGAACAACACTTGTACGATGTTGGTATTCGGTTTATTTGCAGCTGGCGAGCTCATCAACTCCAGGAGGTTATTTACCTTATTCTTGTCTTCGTCGCAAACTGCTTTTATTATCGACTTCAAGCGCGGGGTATCCTGAAGCTGGTGAATAGTACCTGCACCAGGACCGGTTTGTAATGACGGAATAGAATGATAAGTTCGCAAGGTGGACTTCATATCATGCACAAAATTAATAGTGGTATTCATGCGACCAACATTCACCAATAGAGACACTTTTGAAACGGCTTTGCCCAATTCAAAGTCCTTGAGAAGCTTTTCTCTCAAAACTTTTGAACTTTTACTTGACTCTGCTAATGTGCGAACATACAATTCCGCAAACGTAACTTTTGGATTGTTATTTGCACCCTTTATTGGCAGCTCAGGATAATTGTTGGTGAAGCAAGCTGTTTTATCTTCAAAAATTGCCTCCAATAAGTCATATTGAATATCTTTTCGCCAAAAAGGTTCTCCGTCAGCCTTTTTCAAAGACAACTTGGAATTAGCAATGTTGCTCTTTTTCTTTCTCCTTGATGCCAACTTCTTCTTACCACTACTGGCCTTGTTCGAGGCAGCGCCGCCTCCAGTTGGCGCAATATAGTCTTCATCATCACCGAGTATGGTGGAATTGATATCTGTGTCATCGTAGTCGTCGTCACCATCGTTGTCAAAGACTTCTGGCGTGGGTGTACCTACAAGCTGCGCTATAGAATGGGCAGTTTGAGTCGGAGGAGCCGCCATAGTCATCGTCGTTGGAATTGTACTTGGCTGCTCATCATTGGTGGTGTTTGTATCGTTGGCTTCTTCCGATACTAAACTCGATATCGATAATGGAGCAGGACGAGCTTCCGGCTCTTTTGACAAATTTTTGGATGGAGACTGCTGCATATTCACACTCGGTGCTTTTGACGGCGTATACGTATCGTGAATTGGATCGTAACTCATCTTTGCAGTCTCGGAATATTGTCTCTCTTCCCTCTTTGGTTGAATATTAACGAGTTTTAAAAAAATGATAAAACTGAAACTGAAAATAAAAGAGACAAGGAGAGAAAAAAAGAAAACCTCTTTAGAAACATTTTTTTATTACTACATCATCTTCAATCAGTTGGGGAAATGTATTGTATCGGGTAGTTCTCGCCAAGTATGAAGTTAACAGGTGATTCAAAAGTACCATGTATGTTATGAGATGATAACGGTGAAACGAAATTGTTAAATCTCTATATATCTGTATGCCAAATTTGCAAATTTTCAATTACTTTTCCTTCTATAGCAACTCTACCTTTGTTTGTTAAACCAACTGCATTCTTATCCCCTGCACCAAGTTCAAACGGCATTGTCCACACCACTGATCCCACTTTGACTTCAACACCGTTAACTCTTTTAATTCTCAAGGCTGGCAATGCCGAGCTTTGTTGCTTCTTGTTACTTGCATCATCTTCGCCAATAAGAGATTGCAAGTATTCAGGCTTTATTACAGTGTTTGTGGAGTCCACTTTGCCCACAGATAGCTCTTCAAACACAATTCGTAAACCTTGTAAAACAGGAACCCAAAGATCCCCCGATGAAGCTGGAGAGTCCTTCTCATTTAAGTTTACTCCCGTCAACTCGGACACCTCTATGTTTCTGCATTCCTTGATGTCACCCCAAAATATTTCGAAAAATTTTGTAGTATGAATTCTGGGACACATCAAGGGTGTATCAAACAATGTGAATTTTTGAAAAAAAGATTTTTCCAATTCAATATAGCTTCCATCTAAATTGGTCTTGTTTGCGTACTCTGGCTTCTTCAATGAGTTTGAGAAGGCAAAATCAGCATTGAAAAGGTATTTCCAATTGTAAAAGCTCGAGTGAAGAAATGAGTTTGCAGGTTTTGTAAACGGACTAAATTCACACATCTCAAACCTCCGCCCAAACGGATTCCTTTTCTCTATATGGTACTTTGTTGTACTATGGTTGTTGGGTATATCTGTTAGCTTTGGTCGTATCTCGGTTAAGTTTCTTGCAATTGCAGAAGAAAACTCATTAGTTTTTAACCCACCATTGACACTTAGCTTGTGAAATGGATTTACTGTACTACTAACTAATCCTTTATGAAACCATAACGGATGAGCCTCTGTCGAAAATACCCAGTTTTTGCCGTGCATCAACTCAGGTTTATGCAAAAATGCCTCATTGAAAACGTCAAACAATAAGTAGAGGTACTTTAATGTTTCTCCCATAACAAAAGTTTCCATTCTATTCTGTCTTTCTCCAGTTCTAACATCTTGCACTCCGCTAAATCCACAGGGAGCTTTGAAACGGTCTTTGAATAGATTGAAAACTCTTTCACCAATATGGAGGTACATTGGGTCTCGCGTGGCACGAAAAAGATAATAAGTGCTCTCGATGAATTCAGGTCTCAATGGATACCATTCAAGTTCTATCGAATCTTCAGCTTTAAATACTTTTTTCTTACTCTTGTTATTATGGTGAGAGTAGATCCATCTTTCTGGAATTGAATCAAAATAATCCCAAATTTTCAAATAAACAATGTGCGTTTTAATAGCATCTGTCAATTGTCCAGTCAATACTTGTAAACCTGACCAAAATGCACTCAATGAGTCTATCCAGTCGCTGAAAATCATCCCATCTTGAGCTCCGATATTTGGAAAAATCATGCTGCCTTCGCCAACCTGTGCCAGATGCGTCAATAATGCCTGGTACGATGTCTTAAACACCGACCACATATCATCATCATCAAAGAGTATTGCACCTTTAGCTGCATACTCATAAAAGGAGTCAATTGATGCGCCAATTCCTGTAACCGAATCTTTCCATTGATTTGATATTGGATCAATGGTCATGGGTAAAAGGTTAAGCGGCAGTCTAGACGACCAAAGTTTCCATAACGACTGTTGTGAATAATACTCAAATTGATAATCTCCCGTTAATTTCGACAACAAGGTAAACTCCAAGACGGGACTCGTGACTCCAGAAGTACATGCGTCCTTTTGTAATGCCGGAGGCACGCTAGCTAGTCCCAGGGCCAAATTGACTCGAGGTACAGGTATGCTCGTTGCTGTTTTGTATGAAGGAATCAATCTTAAACCCAAGTCATACGCCATTTCCAATAAAAACCCGTCATAGTTGTCTGAGAGTTTTCTAAACCTAGTTAAGGATTTGGGTAATGAGATGTTCTTATTAGTAACATCCAGTAATAATAAATGCGCACTTAAGAGACCGCCTAGGAATCTTATTGTTGTCTCAAAAACTTGCACCACCGAGTTTTGAATGAAAAACTCCTCCTTATTGCTCTTGAGGTAGTTCAACCCAAACTCAAGTTCATCCCATTGTTCCATTATAATCAAAGTATCAAGATTGTCAAGCAAAGTCAGCGAAATGTTGGCCATTGCGTCGTTCCTAACAGTATTCATTGGATTAGTATAGTCTGGTCCGTAAGGCTCGCACGTTAACGGTCGAACTTCATCGTATGGAAAGCCATAAGTCATATACGACGACCAAGCATGCTGAAACAACCCTTTTGTTTCATTTCGAAGAAATCGTAAATGCTCGGGTGTGAAAGATGAATTGAATGAAGAAGAGTATATGCCGCTTGTATTGAGACATAGTATATATATGACTACGTACAAATGATTGTTAATAACTCTGAATAACATTTTGGAGGTTCTCTGCTTAAACCGTGGGGGTGGGGAGGGGAAGGGGAAATCAAAAGATCTACCACTGCATCAAGCAATTTATATCAGGGTCCTTCTGCTTAGATCGCTATAAATTAGCGAGATAAGATATTGAAAAAAAAAATAGAGATCATCACCAAAACGGGTCCTCTTACAGGTAGCGTTTACCGAAATAAGCTTAATACCTGATAGATGAATAAAGATGTGCTATGTAAGTCTCGTTTTCTCTCTCTCTCTCTCTCTCTCTCTCTCTCTCTCTCTATCTGTTTCTTTCTCTCTCTCTATCTATTTCTTTCTTTCTCTCTATCTATTTCTTTCTTTCTCTCTATAATTAACAAAAAGGCCTATTTGCCAAATATTCTATTTACTTGCTTTAATATTCTACCTGTACCCCACAATGTAACCAAGATTACAAAACCATTGACACAGATAATCAACATGGCACTAAGCATGAACCTTGGTGCAAAAATTTTCCACACCATTAAATGACGTCTAAAATGAGCTGCGAAAATCAGACTACTCAATCCCGTGAACAAAAAATACGTGATTAGTGTTGCAATATTGGTGATTATATGTGATAAAACGGTGATGGGCTTGGTAGAAGGTACAACTTTCCAAAGTGTAATTAGAGGTACCGATAATGCAATGATGAAAAAAGGTCCAAATGTGTTTAAAACAATGTTTAAGTGAGTGAATGGGAAAACTATTGTCTCTGTAGTCATGAACCCGAGCTCCCACTGAATTGAGGGAAGTGTTGCCTGATGTCCTGTGCTGAAAAAATGGTGGTACCCTAATAAACCAAATATTATTGGTGAAATAAGGTTTTTTCTTATCGATAACGTGTCAAAGATTTCAAGAAGTGACAATATCTGAATGATCAAGAAGCTTATTGAAAGTGCTCCTAATGGTTTTGTTGTTAGCATAACCGCCACTGTTATGTTCAATACTAACAAAAAATACGAAGAGCCGTAAACATTGCCGTAACCATGAATAGTGGCTGGCTTGTGATTTGGAATCTCGTCTGAATCGTACGAGGCATTTAAGTCACTGTCTTCCTCTATCTCCAATTTCACACAGAGCGGGCCTCGAGACCAACTAAAGTTTGCAAGAACTAGTGATACAAACAACACCAACCTGGCAATTGCGAGCTTCAAGGATTTGATTAATGGCGCGCCAATCATTGAGTTTGCAGCCTTGTAGGACTCACTATGCAGTAAATACTCCAAAGTCCAGTAAGTTGCATTCATGAATAAAAAAAACTTTAGGCACGTACCTATCCATAATGGTGCAGCTGAGTAGTATGAATCTGATAGCTTGTAAAAGGACTTGATAGCTGAGGGCAAAAGATAGGCAATTGCATGTAGCATCACTATGGACCACCACAGTGTGTTGAATGTTGCTTCACAGTATGGTTTCTGCTCCTCTCGACAAACACTAATCATAGCGGAAAGTCTTGTCAAAATAACAAAGGTTGCAGCATGACTTATTGCCAAAATTTTCGCCTTTCTTGTAATACCTTGTCGCACCCCAATGGCAAAAACGCAGCAGCTTCCAAAGGATAATAAAAAATACTGAACAATCTTGTCTTCCCACACCACATACGAGTTTGAAGCGAATATCAAACAATGAAGTGCCACAAACACTATCCCCATAAATGACCAGCTGTCAAAATTGTACAAGAAAAAGTCAACGGTTTGTTGCCAAATATACCCTACGCTAAAGCGATCCATGATTGGTGCCCAAAATCCAATCATCATTCCCACAGCTGCTCCAATTAATAAACAAATTTTCAATGAAAACCCCCCGGGCTTTAACACAATGAACACGGAAAAGCTGAGAACTACTCCCATAATCGTCATTGCGATTACAGAGCCAATAAATTCGAATGACATTGTCAGTACTCTTACTGCAGGAATCGATCTGGCATAAGTGATCATGAATGTTAGGGAAAGAAATAGGATACCAATCCCTATGGATATTAATCTCAAATCAAACCGTGCCCATATTGACTTGCACTCTTCTAGTGATGCAAATTGGAACTTTTTAAACTCATCAACCATCTTCCAGTCCAGCGATGACTCCATTGCGTACTTCTGTACCAAATCGTCAAACAGATCAAGTAATGTATTAGCCAAACTGGGAGTCAAGTCTCGAAATCTTTTGATCTGTTCTATTGTTTTATTAGCCCCAGCTAAAAGTGTTTTTGACGATGCAAAGGCTTCGTCTATGGGGAAGCCAAGATTGTTGAAAGGAATGGGAAGTCCTAAAAGTAAGGAAATTGTAGGTACCAAATCAATCTGGTTCACTTGTCTATAGTTTTTCCCCATTTCGTTAATGTCGTATATCTCTCTTTGCTTTTTCAAAAACTTATTATTTTCCCCCTTCGAATACATAAACAATGTGCTTTCCAATTCATCTGGTGCATCCCCTCCATGGTTTCCAGTATAGTCCATTCCGTGATCTCCCATAATCACGAGTAAAGTGTTGTTGTCCAAATTGTTAACCACTTTGTCAACCACCTCATTCATCTGGTTCAATTTCTCCTTCATTGAATAATGCTCAGGACCAAATCTATGTCCAACGTGGTCTACTCCTAAAAAATGTCCAATCAAAATATCCCAATTGTTGCTTTTTATTAAGGGGAACAAGTGTTTGATGACCCCATTATCAACAGTATGTAGATCCCACACATTTAGCGAGTCGTAAGGGAAACTGAGCTCGGGATCGATATACTCATTGAATAAGGAAGTCCAAGTGTCGTCTCCAACAAATGCAATGGTTTTGTTTTTGCGATGCAATTGCAAAAGCCAGTTATCCTCTTCAATTGCTTCTCCGTTGAAATTGGACCCTGCGTCTAAAATTGTTGGCAAAGAGCCCGTAGTAAGTCCCTTTAATCTCTGTAAAGTGGTTGTAGGAGGGTCTGCTATGAACTTGAGAAGCACACCATTATCCCTTTGCGCTAGTTGGTGTAAAATTGGGAAATTATTATGGTAGTTCTTACTTGAACAAGGCACGGGTATGACGAAATCAAACCTCAAGGCGTCGATAACTAGGATAATGGCCTTATCAAAACGCGGTTCTGTGCATGAACCAGAACCATCTCCACAAGTTGAAATATCTGGGAGTACATTTCTTGAAAGTAAAAAACCCAGAGTAAAGAAACCAAGACCTATAAGCTGAGTGATTGCAAGAAAAACTAGCACAATTATATACCCAATAAATGTAAATTTCAATTTCTGTTGCCTGATCCTCGCTCTCGTGGGCGCTAGGGTTGTTCTTGACACTGCTTCTCGACTCTTACTCGGGTATCTTCCTATAACTTCCATTATATAAAAGGAAAAGGACTAAAAAGGGGGAAAACACAATGTGTTGCTGTGCCAACACGCAAGGCAACTTGGTTGTAGGTCAAAGTCGAGACTGTACTTTTGAAAGTTATCCAAGACTCAATTTTCAAAACTCTCCCCTCTGTTAAACTTTTTATCTGCTCGTTTTAATTCCCAATTCTTGTTAACAAAGTTTGTTAAAGAAGAGAGAAAAGAATCTAACACTATCGAGCAGAGCGAGATAGTGGGCTAGTTACTTTTGGCTATCGAGCAGGGGGGATATTGGAGCACACTCACTAGCTACTTTCTACTATCGAGCAGAGCGAGATAGTGGGACACTCTGACTAGCTACTTTCGGCTATCGAGCAGAGCAAGAGAGTGGAGCACACTGACTAGCTACTTTCTACTATCGAGCACACTGACTAGCTGCTTTTCACTATCTCGCTCTGCTCCATAGTGGGGCACATTGACTGGCTACTTTCTACTATCGACTGACTAGCTTCCCACTATCTCGCTCTGCTCGATAGTAGAAAGTAGCCAACCCACTATTTCGCTCTGCTCGATAGTAGATTTGTTTACAACACTTATTTTCTCTTTATTTTATAGTTTTGTCTTTCTTGTTCTTGTTAATACTACATAGTTGTACATTTACCAACATTATCCCCCCTCCCTCTGTCTCTCTATTCCATGCCATGGTTTAGCTGATTCAAAAACTCTTGCTCAAACTCACTGCCGCCCATAAGATCGTCATTACCTGGGTTATCAAAATCGTACAAAACCCCAATATCATCATTCACCATAGCCAGATGATCAATGTTGTTATCGCCAGTAAATAAATCAGTTAAATCCGTCTCTACCATACCGTTCTCTTGCCCATTGTCGTTTTGGTTCTTGGTCTCTTCTTCTTCTTCCTCCCCTTCCTCCGCCTCCGCCTCTTCTTCCTCCGCCTCTTCTTCTTCTTCTTCTTCTTCTTCTTCTTCTCCTTCTTCTTCCTCTTCTCCTTTATCGTTTTGGTTGGCATTGGTGGTAGTTATTGATTCTCTTATAGCTGTAGTCGATAAGAGCTCATTTTTCCTTTCGTCAGGGCTAACATTGCTTGCGCCCATTGTTTGGTCACGCGAACTTGAGTCCTCAGAATTCATCATGGGCAACGAAAACTGTTCTGTTGCTTCGAAATTATTGCTTTCGCCACTTCCAAATTGGTACATGCCGTTCAAATCACTAAACTTCATGTCTAGATCTATCTCCATTTCGTTGCTTCCAAATTCAGAGGATTGCTGTACTGCTTTGGGCGCCAGTTCCGGTTCTTGTGTTGCATTTGGGTTCTCGCCCTGTAATTGTACAAGTGATGTAACCAGTTTAGGATCATAGTTTTCAGGTGCAGAAGCCACCTCGAGATTCGGTTCTATTTTATTCGACGGTATTGAAAATTTGTTCCTTCGTGATACAACTTTATATTCGTAATTGAATTTATGTTTGTAATTTTCAAGGATTCTTGCATATTCTTTTTCCAAATCTTCAAGTGATTTCAGGCTGAATAATTCTTTTTGTAGCTTCTCCAACTCAGACAAGGAACTGCTTTGATATTTGTACTGAGGAGAGTTGAATAAATATTTCACAAAGCCGGAGTCGTTTTCCAGTTTCATAATCTCAAGGCTCTTAATCAATTCATTGTCAACATGTTTCATAAGCTCCAAGTCACCATAATAAATGTCTTCCGGTTTTACTTGAGAATATTCTCGCGGATCTCGTTTAGGCAAATTGGGATATAGTGACGGTGGTATAATTTTGGATGTGTGAACTACCTTGGCAGTAACATTTTCAATGTACTCGTGATTGGATATATACCTGTGCAAAGCATCGTTTCTGTAGGATATCAAATCAGCCTCGTCATGAAGTTGGATCCCCGTTTCCTCCTTTATCGCATTCGACCCTTGCGATGACTGCTTGTACTGTTGCTGTGCTTGTGCCGCTCGTTGTGCTTGCGCTGCTGCCGCTTGTTGTGCTGCCTGTGCTCGTGCCATGGCCTCTTGTTGCAAAGCAGCTTGCTGCGCAGCCTGCGTTTTCTTATTCATACGCCCTTTCGGTCTCCCGGGATGCGGCATTGTGGAACAAAAGGGGATGAAACACTCAACTATGAATGGGCTTATCAATCGTCTACTATTATTCTCCTTCTCTCTCTCTCTCTCTCTCTCTCTCTCTCTCTCTCTTTCAATGGGCCTTTTTTTTTCATTCTCACAACAGAAAAGTTTCAAAGAAGTTTACCATATGGTAGCGTAGAAAAGCAAGTACTGGGTTAGGAACTCATAGAGGTATATTACTACATAACCGCCGCCTATACAGCTTGCGCCAGGATGGATTTATATCGAGTAAACATGTAAATAATGCAAATTTATCAACTACTAACTAATAAAAATAATGACAATAAAAATGTTAAGGGAAGGTGAATAAAAATATTAAAGAAAAAAAAAAAGAAAAAAAAGAAAAGTCTATAAATCAAATCTACCATTGACAAATTCATAGTCCATTTGTTGATCTTCATCAACCTCCATCTCATCCTCTTCTTCAATGTTGTCATCGTCGACTGCGTCTTCAGCAGGTGGTAAATTAGGATCGCCGGGAATGAAGGACCCGGGATTCTTAAATGTGTTTATACGGTAAGATCTGCCGAAATGGTCATCCATTGCAGAATCATCAACATAGGTGAATCCTTTGAAATTTGCTTGTATGCCAGGCGACAACGGAGTCGAGGCCATTTCCATTTGCTTCTTTAAAGCAGACGTGGACTCCGATGTAAACTCTGGATCAAAATTGGAAGTATCGGTCTCAGATGTAATATGCGGCTTAAATGGTGGTGGAAGACTCTTGGCCCTTAACAACGTCCAATCAATGTCGGCAAAAAATGGATGTGCTATTAACTCCCTGGCATCGTTGGTGGCTCCCAATCTATGCTTTGGGTTTCTATTGAGAAGCCCCTTTACGAATGATCTTCCCTCTGGGCTCAATACTTCTTTTGGGAAACGCACTTTCCCAAATGCTATATTCTTGTACATTTGTTGCGTATTGTCTGCGTAAAACGGTGACCATCCACAGCACATCTCAAAAATCAAAACCCCAAGGGACCAAAAGTCTACCATTTTTGTATATCCTGACTCATCTAATAAAATTTCTGGCGCAAGGTACTCGGTGGTTCCACAAAATGTATTAGTTGTTCCATCATTATTCAAGTTGGCCTTGGACAAACCAAAGTCACACAACGCAATGTGTCCATTTGCGTCGAGCAATATGTTTTCTGGCTTCAAATCACGATAGACAATGTCGTTATCATGCAAATGCTCCAACGCCAAAACCAACTCTGCTATGTAGAATTTGGCGCGCTCTTCTGAAAATCGTCCGTCTCTTTGTAAGTGCCAGAATAGCTCACCGCCAGACATGTAATCAGTTACTAAAAACAAATCAGTTGGTGTTTGAAAAGAGAATTTTAAACCAACAATAAACGGTGATGCTGCTGCCGAGGTACGCACCAATATGTTTCTCTCCCCAATAGTATGAGCAATTTCCTTTTTCTTCACAATGACTTTTTTGGACAAAATCTTCATCGCATAAATGCGAGAAGTGTCCTTCTTTTTAACTTGGAATACCTGTCCAAATGTTCCTTTTCCCAAAAGCCTAAGAAACTCAAAGTCATCTGGGCCGTATGCCTTTTTGTTATCCGATGATGAATATTCCCACTTGATTTTGATAGATCCATGAGTTGCTTTTTCGCCAACTATTCTTGATCCAAGTTGTAACCATTCCTCTGGACCCTTCTTGTTTTTTGTAGTTGAGGGAAAAATCCTTACGTGACCAACAAACGCGTCATCGCTGGCAGTATCGTATACGGAAATGTCTAATTCCGATTTTGATCCAACCACATCAAAAATGGTTTCATGGTTCCATATCGGATGTGACAGCTCTCCTACCAAGTTCAAATGTTGTGTGGATAACTGCCGTTGATACAATGATGGTTTTTGATTCTTCACAGGTAACGCTCTTGGCCCATGGTTGGCGTTGTACATATTTTTGGGTCCGCTGGATCCTCCTGCGCCCATGGGCGATTTACCATAGGAGTCGGGCGCATTGGTCACAAATTCTGAGCTTTCAAACGTGCATACGACATATGGTTGAATAGCTTGAATGTCTTTTGCCTCGATAATTGTCACTTTCAATTTCCCCTTTGGTTGGGTATTTTTTGCTCCTGGGTTGATTGTTTGTCCTGTTTCATCTGTTGTAATAATCATTGGATCTTGTTGACCTTCGTTGTTCTGATCATCATCGTAGTTGTTGTTGTTATTGTTGGCGGTGGTGGTGGTGGTAATGTTGCTGGTGGTGTTGTTGTGCAAGGCAATTGGAGATTTTTGGAAAAACTTGAGCTGATTTTGTTGATGAAAATCATTGCCTTTGAAAGTTTGGTTCAAAAAGGCTCCAGATTCGTTATTTATATTTGTTGTTGTAGTTCCATAAACCGAAGAGTCATTTGACACTGCTGTTGTTGGGGTGACATTGACTAGCCCCTTGGGCATGAACTTATTAACTCCACTAGACTCATCGTACTGGTGGTGATGAGGTAAATGTTTCAGATTCAGGTTCAGGTTCAGGTTCAGGTTCAGATTCAGATTGCTCTGGTGAAAGGAAGAATGTTGCGATGAAGATAAATGGTCATGTGCTTCGTGGTTCGGTAATTCTCGGCGTTCGTCAAAATGATGCATGGATTGACTTGTGTTTGAAGATGAGCTCGGCTGCGGCGTAGGCGATGAGTTATTATTTTCCCGTTTATGAGAATTGCCAAACCCAAATATCGATTTTGCAAAGTCGGCCATATGTATAAAGATAAAGTTGAGAGTCAACTAAAAGCAAATTAAAAGGCAAAAAATAGGATAGCTTGAAAGTTTTGGATGATAATGCTTTTTTTTTTTTGGTTATTGGTTTTTTCGTTTAAAGTTGGCTTTCTTTTCGTGGGATAAATTAGGAATAAATTTTTTTTATTTAGGTAACTTGGGGCAAAGCTTTGGTTTCTAGTTTGGTATATAAAATTTATAAGCAACAAGAATATAAAAAGTCCTTCTCAGCTGTCTCAAGGGGGTGGGAGGAGAGCAATATTGTGGGTGATGGTTTTTGCAAGTATATTCCAAGATGATAAGAATTAATTAGATAATGCCTCATGTATAAGAATTTTGAATGTTTTTTTCCCTTGATAGTCCAATTACAAGATTTAATAAAGTAAAAAAGTAAAGAAGAGAAAAAAAGAAAAAGAATAAACTAATTATGGAACAAAAATAGGTCCCCCCCCTTCCTTTGATATAAAATAAGTGAGATGATCGAGATATGAGTAAATGGGTTTGACATTAGAAGAGTCGGTTTAAGTTTTTTCTCTTTTAACGTAATAAGGTTGAAGGGGAAGAAAAAAGTTTTGATTTTACTTTTTAAAGGGGAATAGACATTGATTCTATCTGATTAAATCTAAATCCCCAATGAGATAATGCTCATGTAAATCAAACGGTTTTTTTTCTTTTTTCCAACACTACACTATCGAGCAGCGACATTATTGAGCAGCGACACTATCGAGCAGAGCGAGATAGTGAAGCACACTAGCTCTCAACACTATCGACACTATCTCGCTCTGGTCGATGGTGAAGCACGCTAGCTCTCAACACTATTGACACTATCTCGCTCTGGTCGATGGTGAAGCACGCTAGCTCTCAACACTATTGACACTATCTCGCTCTGGTCGATGGTGAAGCACGCTAGCTCTCAACACTATTGACACTATCTCGCTCTGGTCGATGGTGAAGCACGCTAGCTCTCAACACTATTGACACTATCTCGCTCTGGTCGATGGTGAAGCACGCTAGCTCTCAACACTATTGACACTATCTCGCTCTGGTCGATGGTGAAGCACGCTAACTCTCAACACTATCTACACTATCTCGCTCTGCTCCATGGTGAGACACGCTAGCTCTCAACACCATCTGCCACCGACACTTTTGCAAGATTGGAACAGTGAATAAATATTTTTGTGACAAGAAACATGGAAGAGATAAAAGAGTAGAAAAGTCTCCACACACGGATGGACTATTTGAGATTGGTACGAATTTTGACTCGGCTAGATAGTTGAGTTTTACATGGCTAGCGACACTATCGAGCAGAGCGAAATAGTGGAGCATATTGACTAGCTATGACACTATCGAGCAGAGCGAAATAGTGGAGCACATTGACTAGCTATGACACTATCGAGCAGAGCGAAATGGTGGAGCACATTGACTAGCTATGACACTATCGAGCAGAGCGAAATGGTGGAGCAGATTGACAAGTTACAACACTATCGAGCAGAGCGAAATGGTGGAGCAGATTGACAAGTTACAACACTATCGAGCAGAGCGAAATGGTGGAGCAGATTGACAAGTTACAACACTATCGAGCAGAGCGAAATGGTGGAGCAGATTGACAAGTTACAACACTATCGAGCAGAGCGAAATGGTGGAGCAGATTGACAAGTTACAACACTATCGAGCAGAGCGAAATAGTGGAGCAGATTGACAAGTCACAACACTATCTCGCTCTGCTCGATAGTGTCATTAGATAGTTGAGTTTTACATGGCTAGACACGGCTAGATAGTTGAGTTTTGACCCAGTGGATTTTTGGTTTTGGATAGCCTCTAATCAGCCTCAAGGCTCTGGTTTTGGGTAGCCTAGTCAAAGCTCTAACCATGTGGTTCTTACTGAAGATCATGTTTACTTCTCTTTCCCCTCCTCTCAAACTATTCATAAATCTTGCCAACAAATCCAATCGACGAGTCTGGGTAATGATTCTGTTTATGACATTGGTTTAGTCTAATGTCAAAGATAAGCACTATCGAGCAGAGTGAGATAGTGTCATTGGTCAACCTCGCTCTGCTCGATAGTGGAGCAACACTAAATAGCTTGTCACAACACTATCCCGCTCTGCTCGATAGTGTCATTGGTCAACCTCGCTCTGCTCGATAGTGGAGCAACACTTTGGAGCTTGTTACAACACTATCTCGCTCTGCTCGATAGTGTTGCTCGATAATGTCGCTCGATAGTGTCGCTAATTGTCGACGCGGATATTATGAGAAAAAAAAAACCAGGAAATCAAAGGTATTGTAGGAATTGCCAGTATCAAGAAAACCCATTTTGCTGTTTTACAATGATCATTTCCAACCTAACCAGGATTGGTATATCACGCCCTTGTGGTGCCTGGCAAAATAATTTGACCTGCTTTAGATTCTTTGCATCAACGGTTTATTGTCACGCAACTCAAAAACATGACAAATTTTACAAACTCTTGAAATACACTAGGAAGGTAGATGAGACAGAATACACAATTGGTCAAGACCACCCACTGGGATTGAGAATACCGGCGGAGGTACCCAATTATCCAAAATATAAATACGAAGCTCGTTTTTTCAAAAGGCAGAACAAAGGTCTATACGGAGGTTTGCAGAGAAGTAGTGGAACAACATGTTCTGAGTTTCTCAATAAAACCCGTCGAGCACGTACTCCAAATATCCGCCGTGCCAAGCTATGGTCGGAAATTTTGAACAAAAAGGTAAATCTAAGAGTATCGACAAGAGTGTTGAGGACGTTAACAAAAGAAGGGGGGCTCGATGAGTACTTGCTTAAATCTACCCCAGCAAGAATGAAAACAATGGGTTTGATGGGATGGAAATTGAGATATCAGTTATTGCAACAATTGGAAGCAAAAAACAGAGGATCTGTTGAATTGAAAGATGGAAAAACAGTACCCATCACTTATATTCACCCAGACGGTAGGAAATTTATTGTGCCAAAAGAACAGTTACTAAACAAGTTATACGAGATGGTTCAGAGAGACAGTTATTACCCAGTACTTCCAAATCAGTTTAACAAAAACTATTCTTGGATGTCTTTTGAAGAAATTGTAAATAGATTGGATAGTCATCAGGTTGAGCTTGAGCAGTTTACCATGTAAATAATAAGTGCGTACAAAAGTCCAGTTGCTTATAGCCCCGATTTTAGAATCTTTCACGTGTTTCCCTCTTTTTTTGTTTTTTTTGCACTATCTTTTTTTTTTGTTGTTTTTTTTTTTCAACTAAAGACTTGTCGTGAGAGAAGTAGGTAAGGTGGAAAAAAAATATGTGTGTGTGTGTGTGTGCGGGATTCTCTTCGCTATCATAGATTTTTTGTAAGGGATACTATCATTCGCACCAAACAAAAGTAACTCGTAGAATTTGAAAATTTTCCAGAGTCTTTCTAGTACACCCAATCAAAATCATAAAAATATAGAAGCAAGAAACAATGGCTAAGTCAGGTATGTGGTGGGAAACAGACTACTTGTCAAGTCAAGAGAACGAGACAGAGATTTGATATAGTGTGCATATGTAAATTAAAAACAAATATTTGATAACCGTTGTTTAAAATCGTGGGTTGAGATTATAGAAGCTGACTCTTAGTTGGAAGAAGATTTTGGGACAACACACCTGAACACATGTTCATAATCAGCACTCACTCGGGTATGAGGGACAACGAATACGTGTTTTTGGGGGGAGGTGAGGAGGCTCACATTAGAAGGACAGGGTGAAACTACCACCATGCATTTTCTTCAACTCAGGTCGTTACTCTCTCTTACAATTTTTTTCTCAAGTTTGGGTATACTAACATCATTGCTTATAGGAATTGCTGTAGGTTTAAACAAGGGCCACAAGGTTACCGCTAAGGAAGTTTCTCCAAAAATCTCATACAGAAAGGGTGCTTTATCGAAAAGAACCGCTTTTGTCAGATCAATCGTTCAAGAAGTTTCAGGATTAGCTCCATATGAAAGAAGATTAATTGAATTAATTAGAAATGCTGGTGAAAAGAGAGCTAAGAAATTAGCTAAAAAGAGATTGGGTACTCACAAGAGAGCTTTAAGAAAAGTAGAAGAAATGAACAAAATAATTGCTGAATCAAGAAGACACTAAAATCATCACATCACTACTGGCAACGCAGCCCTGTACATTAATTTCATAGGAATATATATATATATATATATATATAAGAAAAAGATTTTGAAACAAAAGAATGAAAGGAAAATGATTCAACCGTAGACTGAATCTTTTTCGAGGAGAGTAGAAGGAAGTAACTTTGGATCGTTAGGTTTAGTTTTCATGGTGTGTACTGAAGAGCACAATATACTTTTTATATACATGTTTTTCTTCTTCTACTGAGACTGCCTCTATGGAGAACTTCTCTTGGTTGTTGTTATTGTTGTTGTGATAATGGTAGTGGTTGATTAAAGATTGTGTTGTCACTACGACATTATTATACTTCAATCTTGACATCCTTGTCAATATTCAATTAGACCCTAGTTGTGCCCAATAATAAAAGTTTGGTTCGAATTTGTACAAATATTTGCCTAAATATGAAAGTAGAAAAAACAATTGAAGCACAACCTTATTAATCACTTTTCTTTGCCAAATCACATAAACTTTTTTATATTTCCATTACATATACGTATTTGGCTACTTTTTTGATCGAATTATCTTGAGGTATTTTTACAATGGCGATGAACTTTAAGATGAAGATGGATACCAAATCTTTTATTGAGTTGTGTTGGCTGCAAAAAAAAAGGTAGCGCTTCCATGTTTAGATTCCTATACCCATTTATTTCACTGTTTTGTAAATTTATAGCATATCAGATATCAATCAATCAATCAATCACTTACTACAAGAAGCTTTAACAGGTTCAATAAAAACTTTGCTAATCATCAATGCCCGTCGAACTTGTACTCTCACCTCTTATGAGGCCCGTGGTGAGGGCAAAAGCTGTTCTATTCAGTCCACATCGAAATTCTTCACACTATATTCCTCAAATTCGAGAACTCCCCGAAGACGTCTCACAATACGCAGTTATCAGAAGATTCGGTTCTGGAAGTAAAATATTTGACGTCTTTGATACCAACAAAGGTCAGATGCCTGTTGGAGGCAAGAATCCAGCAGACAAGATATTTTGGTTCCATCGTTCGCGAGCTGTTAAAGGGGCATACAAGATGTTTTCATCCAAGATATTGGCAACAGGTCCCGACGGGGAAGACGAGCCTATTGCCGATGTTAGAGCAGGGTTGAGAGGCAATGTGTTATTGATTAGAGCACCCGATGCTCCTGCGGCCGAGCTAGGTTGGCATATTCTAAATCATCGTGTTGATGCAATTGACAGCTACCGAATGTTTACAATGAGCAATGGATTAACCTATCAATGGACCTACAGAGGAAAATGGTTGGAGTTGGTTCATAATTTAGGGGAAAAAGAGTCCGAAATAAGAGAGAGAATAGGTAGGGTGGTTGAGCATGGTCCACATGGATTCACACTATACATCGATGAAACCAAAATGTTGAGAGAAATTGCTCTTAGTACAGCCTTGTGCTCCTATATTGACCAATGGAATACAACTCTTGAAGTCGGAGGAATATACTATGCAAAACAACCAGGCCAAGTACGCTGGAAGAGAGACTGAGTTTAAAAATAGGGAAAGGAGGGAAATGGAAATGAGAAGCTCTGTAGGTTCCGTCTGTTTAGTTACATCTTTTAGATCCCGCCCCCCCCCCAAAAAAATAAAAAAGAAAAAGAAGAAGAAGAAAATGGGCTGTTCTCTTTATAGGAGGCATAGTCAAGAACAATTTGTATTAAATTATGCTCTAACTCGCTCTAACTCGCTCTAACTCGCTCTAACTCGCTCTAAATCTCCTCCCTCTTGTTTCTTGTTTCTTGTTTCCCGTTTCTCGTTTCTCGCTCTCCTTCTTTTTTTTTTTTTTTTTTTTTTTTTTTTTTTTTTTTTTTTTTTTTTTTTTCTNCCTTTTTTTTTTTTTTTTTTTTTTTAATTTTTTTTTTAATTTTTTCTTAGTAGCGCGCGGGATCTGATACCCTTGAAGAAAGATGGTGTTCGGCTTCCTTCAATCTGTATTTGTGTGTATATATGCCTATATGTATATATGTGTATAAATAGGAAGAGAAGAGTCAAATTGAGTTGGGGGTCTTTTTTCTTTTCTTTTTTCGGTGGATTTTGACTTTTCATTAGACTTGGAAAACTTAATCAGAGTATAAAAAAAAAGTAATGCTCAGAGCTACTAAACCATACCACAGGTTGATTCGTTTCAACTCCACAAAATACTTTTCTGCAGAACCCAAAGCTCCGATATTGGCAACTGGAGCAATTCCAGGGCCAAAATCAAAACAGCTCAATCAAGAATTGGGACAGGTTTACGATAATGGTGCCACATATTTTGTAGCAGATTACTTCAATTCCGTTGGTAATTATATCAGTGATGCTGATGGTAATAAACTATTGGACGTCTATTGTCAAATTTCGTCTATCCCGTTAGGTTATAACAACCCAAAGTTAATTGAGGCTGCAAGGTCGGATGAGATGGTTTCATCTATTGTTAACCGTCCTGCTTTAGCGTGCTTCCCTCAATCTAATTATAAAGATATTTTAGAGCAAGGTTTACTTGCAGCAGCCCCTCCAGGTATGAATAAAATTTGGACTTCGTTGAGTGGTTCTGATGCTAATGAAACTGCTTACAAGGCTGCATTTATGTACCAACATTCCAAGCTCAGAAAAGGCGAATTCACCCAAGAAGAATTGTCAAGTGTGATGGAGAATAAAGCACCAGGTGCTTCCGAGATGGTTATTTTATCGTTTGAAAAGAGTTTTCACGGGAGATTATTTGGTTCGTTATCAACTACAAGATCAAAAGCTATACACAAATTAGACATACCTGCTTTCCCATGGCCAAAAGCACCATTTCCAAAATTAAAGTATCCATTGAACGAGTTTGAAGCCGAAAATAGAATTGAAGAAGAAGAATGTTTGAAAGAATTAGAGCTGATTATTGAAAACTCATCGAAACAAATTGCTGCTGTGGTTGTTGAGCCTGTTCAATCGGAAGGTGGTGATAACCATGCCTCCTCATTCTTTTTCCAAGGAGTTCGAGAATTGACCAAAAAACACGGGATTTTATTAATTGTGGATGAAGTTCAAACTGGTGTTGGTGCTACAGGGAAATTTTGGGCACACCAACACTGGAATTTAGATTCTCCACCTGACATGGTTACTTTCTCGAAAAAGTTCCAAGCAGCAGGGTTTTATTTTGGTAATCCAGACTTGCAACCAAAGCAACCGTTTAGACAATTTAACACTTGGTGTGGTGACCCATCAAAGGCTATTTTAGCAAGAGCTATTTACAAAGAGATTGTTGAATCCGATTTGGTAAACAGCACAGCAAAAGTTGGTGACTACTTGTTTAAAGGATTACAAACCATTGTTGCCAAAACTGATAAGTTTACAAATTTGAGAGGAGAGAATTTTGGAACTTTTATTGCATGGGATTGTTCTAGTGCAGATGTGAGAGCCAAAGTGATACAGGGATGTAAGGATAGAGGAGTCAATATGGGAGGATGTGGTGATGTAGCAATAAGATTGAGACCAACATTGTTGTTTGAGAAAAAGCACGCTGACATCTTTTTGAATATTTTAGAAGATGTGACACTATCGAGCTGAATGACACTATCGAGCAGAGCGACACTATCGAGCAGAACGAGATAGTGTTGTAACAAGCTACTGAGTGTTGCTCTATCGAGCAGAGCGAGGTTGACTAATGACACTATCTCGCTCTGCTCGATAGTGGAGCACATTGACTAGTGAAAAGGATCTAGGACCCGACACTATCGACAGTATATATGTATGTATGTATGCATGCATTTATGCAGGCTATATGTAATAAGCATTAATGTCACAAATTTGGTGACATGTAGATAAAGGACGGACACAAGAAAAATTATTATAGGCGAATCAAAGGGAAATACGAAAATAGTGCACATTGACAAATGACTACACTATCTACACTATCGAGCAGAGCGAGATAGTGTTGTATCAATCTAGTCTAACGAGCAGAGCGAGATAGTGTTGTATCAATCTAGTCTAACGAGCAGAGCGAGATAGTGTTGTATCAATCTAGTCTAACGAGCAGAGCGAGATAGTGTTGTATCAATCTAGTCTAACGAGCAGAGCGAGATAGTGTTGTATCAATCTAGTCTAACGAGCAGAGCGAGATAGTGTTGTATCAATATAGTCTAATGAGTCTAACGTCTAGGAGACAGCTACACTATCTCGCTCTGCTCGATAGTGTTGTAACCACTTTAGGTATTTCTCAAAGAAGAAATGTTAGGCAGTCGTGCGGCTAGAGACCAGTTTTTAACCCTCTACAACAGTAGTAAAAAAAATATTAATACTGCTGCTTATTTGTATTCACCTTACTTTTTATTTTTTCGGGTATGCCATTTATAGTACTACAATTTGTTACATGGATCGAGGCCCTAATCTTAATCTACACTATCGAGCAGAGCGAGATAGTGTTGTATCAATCCAGTCTATCGAGCAGAGCGAGATAGTGTTGTATCAATCCAGTCTATCGAGCAGAGCGAGATAGTGTTGTATCAATCCAGTCTATCGAGCAGAGCGAGATAGTGTTGTATCAATCCAGTCTATCGAGCAGAGCGAGATAGTGTTGTATCAATCCAGTCTATCGAGCAGAGCGAGATAGTGTCGTAACAAAGTACTAACAAAGTACTAACAAAGTACTAACAAAGTACTAACAAAGTACTAACAAAGTACTAACAAAGTACTAACAAAGTACTAACAAAGTACTAGACACTATCTCGCTCTGCTCGATAGTGCCTGCTCGATAGTGTCGAAAGCGTCTAGTGTCAAGTCGTGCGAAATACCAAAAAAATGTACCAATACAACAATAGTCAATTCGACTATTGTGTATCGGCGATTTCCTCTCCAAGCAATTAGAGATACTAAAAGTCCTCTTTTAGTTGAGGGATTTTCTTGGTACGAGAAAACGAGCAGGAAAGGGAAAAAACCTGCTTTTGGAATTATAATCCTTGCCTTATCAGAATCGCCTTTTCCAAACAAAAAAAGATAGATACTTAACTCAACTGTGTGTGCTATATTTTGTAAACTTTCTCCTCCTCCCCCATCCTTTTTTCTTCTTCTTTGCTTTCCTTTCCAGACACAATTTTATAGAATATATGCACTAGGGCACCCACCCACCCCCCTCGCCAAGATGAATCAGTAAGGAGGTTTTTCTTTTCTTTTTTTTAATATAAACAAAAGGTATGCTAGGTAGGTTATTCAAGCATAAAGAGAATCACTCACCAGCGACTCTGTCGCCAACATCTCCTCCCATCACATCGTCTTTTGAAGACTCGTATTCTAGAGAAATTCTATATGGCACACACAATGCGAATCTGCTAAAGCCCTACTACTTCAACAACCAACACTTTAGAATCTTTATATCACAAGATGGCGGGAATCTACGTTCCAAACAACTACTTTTCGACTCAGCTCAAGCACCTTCACCACCACCACCACCACCACCACCACCAGTATCATCATCTTCTTCTTCTTCAACTTCATCGTCATCGTCACCGTCATTATTATTTTTATCTACACCAGAGAACCCTTCAAAACGGTCTTTGCTACCGAAGTTATTATCCAACCACAGACAACACCACCATATTTCCGATTTGAATGATTTGTCTTTTGGTTGTGGATTGCCAACCAATGAAGTACAGACACTAATTAAATTTCATGTTCTACCGCCATTGTCGCATACTTCAAGTCCTTATAGTTCTGTTTTGATTACAAGATTGTTTTCAATAAGCGATCATGAGCCATATGTCACAGAAACACTATTGGACAATCGTGAAGATTGGATTCCGAAAACTACTGTTGCCCTTAAAGAGTCGAGCTTGAAACTAGATGATTTGAAGATAAATAGTCGGTTTGCCGTGGGGATTGTTATACCAGTAGAATCGAATAATTCGGTACACGAAGGGATTATTAACATCTGGAATGAGATTTCCCATTTTCTAACTTTTTTGCAAAGAATGGTGTACAAAAAGTTGCTACAACAGTTGAATTTGGGCATTGATAATGCTTTTCGTTGTGAATATTTGGTCAAAAAACGATTACAGTTTCCTAGTAATATCTTGCAAAATGATTACGACCTTCATTTGCAATTGAATAAGCTAATCAAATTGGTTCATTACCTGAGCAACACTCCGAGGTTAATGAATATAAATTACTTGATCAGAACCAATAAATTCGAGTATAATTCAGCTCTTATTAATTGGGTGTTGGAAGTATTGAACTGGCTTGAATTCAAGGATGGAAAAAGCAATTTAGCTAATACATCATCACCTTCATTCCTTGCAACAGTTCTTTCCTTATTGATACAGCATAGAAAGTCCTTGGGAATGCGGCCATTTTATAACAGTCTGTCTAGTCTGCGTGAAGTTACGCGAGTGGTTGTAATGACGGGGAACCCCGCAGTTGCGAAGCGGTTGATTTTCATTATGAATGGACTCATTGCGAATACAGAGAGAGAAACAGAGACAGAGACAGAGATAGAGACGGAGACGGAGATGGAGATAGATGACAATGATAGAAAAGAGGAAAAAGATAAAGAAAAAGAAGAAGAAGAAGGAAAAGAAGAAGGAAAAGAAGAAGAAGAAGGAAAAGAAGAAGAAGAAGGAAAAGGAAAAGTAAAGGAAAGAGAAAATGTAAAAGAAAAAGAAGACAATGTTGCGTTTATTGATAAGCGACGACCCGCTGCTGGTATTGTTGATGAACTGCGGCAGCAGCACTCCTCGGACTCAGAAGAATACATTAATAGAAGTTGGGAATCCGCAATAAATGCCAGTGCTACTGTCTCACGTGTGCAGCCGTCGGCTGTTAGTATACCAATACAAAACAAAAATCATCAGCATTATTCACCCATTGGTATACCCATCAAAACTCCAGCTACTTCACAAGCGTCGTCATCCTTGTCAAAATCTGCATCTACAGCTCAGCTATCAGGATCCTTAAGTTCCTCCTACTCTTCATTACAGTCAAACTTCTCCTTGTCTAAATATGCCAGTGTTGGTGGTTCATTTATGGACAAGTGGAAAAATTCATTTGGTAATGGCAGTCAACCTAATTCGTCATCAACAACGACTGGCTACTTTGACGAACCGATAAGTAGTTTGAATACCAAGAAGTCCATTCATTCTTTGAGAGCACCTTCTCCAGCATTTGAAAATGATGAGCATAATTGGCAACCAACAAATAACTCTATCACACCTCCTTTATCAATGACACCAAGTAAACTATCCAGAAATCAGTCATTATACGATCTCTACAATATGAATATGAAAGCCATGAGTGAGGAACAACTTTCCGACTCATCTGACTCGCTGTCATCGTCAACTGTCAACAATAATACTAATGCCAATGCATTCAACAGTGGTTTAGAAGTCAAGCGATGTAAGACTAGTGTTTTTTCTCCATTAGTTAGTGATAGCTTGGTGAAGAATGTTTGTGAGTTTAATAGAAGTAAGATACAGGACAAGTGTCAAAGTATAATGAGAAAGAATCATTATTTTAAGAAACGGGACAACACCTTGGAAGTCGGTGTACCACAAGAAGAAGCTAAGAAAACACGAGTTTTTAAGTATAAGATACTATTGCCTTGTGTAGGATTCTCAGATGAGTATCGACCGGAGTTTGTGTTACAATCATGTCCCATAAACCCGAAGTTGGAGCAACAGATTATGAACTCGATGAAGAATGATTTGATATATTATCAAAATAATTATAGTCTCCCGCAAAACAAGATCCGTACAATATTTATTAATCTAAGAGCTCGTGAAGTAAAGACAATTGAGATGTACATCAATAATGAACAAAAAAAATCAGCAGAGACGACTAGCGAGGGCAAGAAGGAGCACGTTCAAAATACATACAAAACAAAATTGACCAAGATCCATTCACCGTTGAAATGTTTTGGTGATAGAAAGTTAATAAATCGAATAGAGTTGGTTATGGATGAAATTGATCAGTTGTTTAAAGCACAGCAATTAGAGTACCAGGATGAAAGGAATAAAAAGTACAACAAGGAGCAATTTCATAATAAATTGCACAGTTTGGTTATGGAACTACTCACATGAGGGGGTAGAGAAAAAACGCCTGGGAAGAAAGAGGAGGTAACACGGAAAAAAAATGGAAAAGTGGAAACATCGTTGGCTCTTTCCCATTTTCATTTTCATTTTCATTTTCATTTCCATTTTTTTTTTTCTTCCTTTTTTTTCAGTTGCAAGTATCGTATCTTCATTAAGCTAAAAGTGTAACCCTGAGTTTCTTTTCAATGGTAAGCTCAAAATGCTTAGCCAATGCCTTCTTAATAGCTAGTAGTAGGGCTGCACTCTTTTTTTTCGAAAAGTACGGATTTGGTTTCCTTTAAAGTATATTATTTTTGTTTTTGTTTTTGCTAGCTGTTGTCAATGATAATCAATGCATCCCCCTTAATACCTGCTATGCGATTTTGTGTCTCTTAAAAATAAGATTTCTAATCAAGGCTTACAGTTACAGAACAGAATGCTCAGGGCCTAAAGCTGCAAGGGTTAAAACCGCAAGAGCTAAAACATGCAAGAGCTAAAAAATGCAAGAGCTAAAACGAAAAAATAAACTTTAATCGAACTCCGTCAGTGTCACCCAACATCAGGCGGCTTCCAAAAAAAAAAGAATGGGTAGTGTACATTCGATTAAAACTTCTTATTCTTTACTGTTCAGGATGGAATTTATAATTTGGCAACTGGGTGATGTTTTTTTTTTTTTAAACAAGTGCACCAGCAAATAGTTACTCGAATGTTTACAACTCCTACCATTCAAACGTTTCCAATTGTAGGTGAGTGGAGGTTATTTGCAAATATCCGTTAAATAATTTATCTCTGTTTTGTATTCCCCTGGTAAAGAAGTTTATATATATACATATATATATATATATAAATAAATGTACATATATTATTTATTTATTTTAGGGGGGAGGTGAAGGGGGTAATTTTAAACGATTCAGAATTATACCTTCCTGAATTATTCAGACAACAAAAATTATTCTCTCTTGTATTGCCCTCTAAACTTCTAGATGCTTCAATTTACTTCTCTTTTTTTTCCCTAATTAGTCCTGTTTTGAATAACTTTAATTTACAACGTTTCAAAGAGTCCTCTAAAGGGAGTTTCCCTTGTTATTCATCTGTGCGCAGCCAGAAAGTGACGGTTGGGAAATTTGAGTAGAACGTTGGATGATTATTTCAAAAATCTGAGGGATGATTTTAATTGAAATATACTGATTACTGTAACCGGGGCCCAAATGTTGAGTGAAGGTAAAAAGAGCTGAACCAAGAAAGAAATCAAACAGTCACGTGATTTTTATCACCCAACCTATCTTTATTCAAACTACTCTTTATAGTAAAAAGAGCAAAAACCAAGGCAACTATAGAACCAAGCTTCTTTATTTCCTCCGCCATGTAACATATCTTGCTCTTTCTTTTGTCTTTACATCTTTTTAAAATTAAAAAGTTTTTAGTACACTTTTGAAGAACCGCCCCCCCCCCCAACTCCCCCAGATTTTCAATATGGTAGTGGCCCTACAGAAAAATAGTCTTTACAATAATAAGAAACAAGGTTCAAGAATTTAATAAAGCGCACAACCACGTCACACTATTTGTTAATAGTGTCATTCTGCTTATAGAAAGTTTGAAATCATTGGGTAATAGATTACTTCAAAGTTTTCCTCAAATTAATCATCCATGGAAAGTGCAAAACTCGGTTTTTTCATAGCCCACTCCTTAGTAATCGCTCTCCTGATTGCCGCTACCATGTATGACGTAATCAACACCGGCCTAAAATGTGTTACAACAAATGAAATTCGGATGAATAACTTAGTTCTTGGGCCATATTTCATGTTTAGTTGTGACAATTAGACCTTCCACCACCTCCCAACATTTGAATTGGCTAATCCTATGTGCTAATTTTGTGAGTAAGATATTTATTGATTGGCACAGACCTCCACTTTTTACCCAGTACTGATTAAGAGGAATCAATAGTATGGACAGAAATTTGGGTGAACCAATGTTGTAGTTATGATTGATCCTGCCCATTTTCAATGTGTTGCAAAAGAAAGCATCCTTGTCAATAACTCACCCCTCCCCCCGTACCCACACCTGGCCAAGAACTTCCCATTCCCATATGAAAATGTATCTGCTTTAACTACCAAGCCTTCAATCTTGTCAAATTACAACGCACCCAACTGGAAAATATGGTCCGAGGAACCATTACTTACAAGGTAGTATAGTTTATGGTACTTTTTATAGTATATAATTTCCTCCTGGGTCAATCAGGACCCTCTTTTTTCATATGTTGTTTGTCTTTGAGATTAAAAGAGGGGGGGAAGCGGATCCTAATGAAACAAATGTCACTTTGATAATTGTTCAGATGTGCTACTCAGAAACAAGTAATCAAACGTGGTGTATAGTGATCAAGTAAAGGAAAACAGAGAAAATTTCAAAACCATTTTCTTTTTAGCCGCTCCCCGAAGCATTTTTTTTTTTCTCTCCTGCAAGAGAAGGAAATCCGATACTAGCTGAAATTTTGTAGCCCCGGTCATTTAAGCTTATTTAATATTGGGAGTTTGTTGTGGTAAGGTAACTATATGGTATATAGACCCTGTCCATGTGTGCTCTATATTCATTATGCGATTTGTAATTAATGATAATACACTTCAACCATTGTATCGTTTGGGAAAGGGAAATACAGGAAGTACAGGGAGTACAAGGAATGGCAAGAGGGGGTGTAAAGTAAAGCTAAAGAGAATTAAAAAAAAAAAAAAAAGAACTTTTGTGATTTCCTTTTTGTAAAGCTCAACTCACTCCATTCTCGCTTACTCTCCCAATTCTTTTCAATAAATTCGATATGCGGGGAAAATGGTTAAATCTGAAGTTTTTCATTTTCCGTATTTGACATCTACTAGACTACCATGAAATGAGCACTTAATTAAGTCAAAAACGATAATTTGCCACCCAGAAATCTCTATTAAGAAAGAAAAATTAAAACTAAAAAAAAAATAGAGTTATCTTATCTGTAAGACACATCTGTAAGAAAAAGAAATATTTTCTTATAGTGCAAATTTTCTAGATTTTCTTGGTTGCGTTATGTTTTTTTTTTGTTTCTTTCTTCCAAAGTCATATGTTAAGATGCAGAAAATCCACATATGAAAATGTCCCTTTCACTCCACTTTATTTTTTTTTTTTTTTGGAAACTTCTATGAATGACTTGTTTTTTTGAGGCAGATGTATGCCCAAGACATGTTTCTTTTCTCTCCAGTAGAACTCACACTGGGTGATTCCTCATCGGTTGATGTATCCCCTATACCATGCATTCTCACTTTTTTTCTTTTTTTCCAATTGTTTTCTCTTGGGGGCGCCTTTTCCTAATGGAGAAAAAGCAAACTTTAAACTTTCCTCATAATGTTGTTTTAGAAAACGATAATGCATAACAGAGGCAGTGACAGGCAAGGGGGGGGGAAGGGAAGAAAGGAGGGAAGTGGGGGTCAGAGGGAGAGAGAGAAAAAAAAAAGTATGTGCCGATTGATTGCATAATTCCATTCAGTTCGGACAAAATGACAATTACTTGTTTGATATTTTTGTATGTGATGAACAGCCAGTAACTCATGTATGTACATGTGGTATAGTTTTTCTCTATCACGAAAGCGATTCGAGTGGTATGATCGATTTAGAAGAATTAAAATTAGTCAGAGACGTAGGCTTTGTGCCAGCTCTTCTTCTTGTTGCAAATACCGCAACAATTACTGAATATCATTCATGAGATTGAATGTTGAATGTTTTTTTTTTTCAAGGAGCAGAGTTGTGGGGAAAAGATTTTCCTAACCTCAAATATATTTGAAAAAAATCTTTATAGTAATAGAAATAGTAGTAGTAGTAGTAGTAGTAGTAGTAGTAGTAGTAGTAGTAGTAGAAGTAGTAGAAGTAATGTCGTTGGATCTCCGATTGATTACAAATGTGCTGTCTAGAGTTTACAATTTATAGTTCATCAGAATCAATTCAATGTACATTATCATTATCAACAGATGTATAACCACTAAAGAAACACAAAAAATATTAAGAGTCAAATGAAAAATCTAACAACGTGAACTGAATAAAAAATTAAAAATAAAAAAAAGCATCGATAATATCAAGCAAAAAGACTGCACTCGTGTCTGATGGCTTTAGCCGAAAAGCGAGGAGATGGAAAAGGAAAAGGCAAAGTGTATGTGTATGTTTGAAGGGGTATGGCGAGTGCTGTAATCTATAATCTATAACCCAATACTTGCGGCTAATTGAGGATTCATTGCTAAGAAACTAGTGTCATTAAAAATATCGTCATTAACAATGGCAGATGGTGAACAACTTGGGTTTGTAGTTGTAGATTGCGTAGAACCATTAACACCACCAAAGTAACTGGATGCATTGAAATGTGCAAATGGAGTCGTTGTGGTGAAGAGTAACTCCTCATTAAGTGCTAATGATGCTGATGGTGCTGTTGAAGGTATAAAATCTAAATCCTCTCCAATATTACCATTGTAGTTGTTAAGTACTGCAACTGAAGAAGATGAAGAAATGGGCTGTTCATTAGTAAAGTCAAAGTCATTAAGTGAAGTGGTATTGGTGGTATTGGTGGTGGAGGGGTTGTTGTTAAAATTGGTGGAAGAAGTGGTTGGTTGTGGCTGTGTAGGAGGTATGGACACGGCATCACCAAACCAATTGATTGTTTGTGAGGTGTAAGCAGTTTCTGAATCTCGTTCTTGTTCTTGTTTTTGTTCTTGTTCCTGTTCCTGTTGATCCATTACAAACTCGGTGGATGCCGGTATATACTGTAATGGCTGCGTGTCATTGAATAGACTATCACCACGAAATTTGGATAAACAAGGATATGAAAAAGCCTTCATGTTTAGATAATAACCATCTTGATTACTATTATGAGTAGCCTCTAGATCGAGTGTAGGTAACTCTTGTAATGGATCATCAAAAAATGTTATTTGCAGGTGTGGGTTAAGGGAGTCAGGCAACTCCGTGTGTAGTGTATTCAATTGACTCAATGAACCACTTGTGGTTTGGTTTGGAGGAGTTAATGGATTTGGAGGCGATGATGAAGATGAAGATGAAGATGATTCTAGCTTTGTTTTTTTCCTCATTGGTGGATTTTGAGAAGTGGGTGACGTTGGCATCGGCGAAGATGAATCTTTAGCATTCTCATAGGAGCTGGAAGAGAAGGCGCTATTATTGTTGTTGGAAGTTGGCGAGTTAAAAGTCTCAAACAAGGTATACTCACCGCTCTCTTTGACTTTCTTGATGAATTCCCAACACTTGTCTCCGTATGTCTTCGGCGTTAACCCGGTAACGGATTTAAATACTCGATGAAAATGCCATGCGCTCAATTTCGACTTTGCAGCCAATTCTTTAAAACCTAATACACCGCCTCTTCTTCTTCTCTTTTTTGAAGGCGTGGTACCAGTATTGGTACCATTAGCATCAACAGTTGTTGCATTTGTATTCTCCTCAGAGACACCACTAGTAGTGTTGTTGCTGTTATTGTTGTTGATATTGGCATTATTAGTTGACACTGTAGCTATGGGTTTTGGTTGGAAAACATTGACAGCGGCTGCCAATGCCAAGTGGCGACAGGCCAAATCGACTAGTCTGTAGTGGTCCGAGTCGTTCTTTGACAACAAAGTATTTTCCAAATCCTTAGATACTTTTTCTTGGTAGCCAAAGCTTGGTACTGACGCCCTATGAATTGAGACATCGCCACCATTGGCTATACCGTCTTCGCTCTTTATATCAGGCAACGAGCCATTAATAGTTTTCAATATCTGTTCTTCATTTGCCTTCTTTGATTCCAATATATTTTCTTTAATTTTTCTTGAGTTCAACTCTTCATTTTCATCCAACAAGGGAAGCATGAACCCGATTTTATTGTTCACAGTTGAAACACACTTTATTAGTAAATTGACATCGATAGCTGTGCTGTGAATTGGATCACAAACTTCACAGGGTATAAAACCAAGCGAACAAGCCTCATTCACCGAAGAAACAAACTTTATTTCTGATTTTAAGTTTGTTCTTGGTCTTGCATCACAATCGGGACGACAAAAGTACCTATTGAGCTTATTACAAACAAAAAATGAACCTGCTGCAAATGGGTCACTAAATTGGTAAGCTTTCCACTTAGAAGTCTCTGAACGATACACCATTGTTTGTCCTATAATTACCCTTGATTTTCAAAAAGATTTTTTTTTTTGAGGGGGTAGTAGCTTCAAGGGGGGGGGGGGGATGGAAAAAAAAATATAATATAAGATAATAATAGATGAAATTCCAAAGCACTAAATCGACTTATATATGAAAATCTTGAAAAAGAAAAAATATGTGGGTTATTAAATAGACAAGAATTATTTACTTATTCCTCGAGAAAACTAACTAATTAATAGATTTCGGAGGATGTAAATCACAATGTGCTTATATTCTTGTGTATCGGTGTAAGTCTATGTGTGTAGTTGTAAGTGTCTGTGTGTCCCAAGATATTTTATGGGGCAATTGGGGGGGAGGAGGGGAATAAAGGGGAAAAGGGTGATATCGAATGAATTCGCTTTTGATATAAAAGCAGGTTGGTGTAGGTCTAAACTGTAATTGAGTAATCAAATTAAGGGATGAGGTTACTTTTAATATTGTAACTCAATTCTAGTTATTGAAGTTGGTAGCAGCTTTAATAACTATGTGTTTGCAATACACAAGTAGTAGTAACTAAGTATATTTCTTAGTATGTTGATATCAATTGGGAAAAGATCCTGCTAATTGAAAAAAAAAACAAAAAAAAGAGAAGGGCAAACTATATATATATGATTAGAGTAAGAGGTGGGTTGAGAGATGACAAAACTATAACTTACAACAGAATGAAAAAGAGGGTGATGAAATGAAATGATGAAATGGTGAAATGACGAAATGATGAAAAGGTGATTCAACATGTGTAATGAGGCAGGACGGGTTTATGTAGAAGCTGCTTTAACACTTACATTTACATTCGCATTCTACAGTCTACAGTCTATACCACTCTACCACTTTTTCCCTAACAACAATTCCTCCCTACCTTCCCCCTCCCCCCCCCCCTATTGTAATTCATTAGCCCACTCTGTTTATTTGTCTCTTGCATAAGGAATTCCGTCTTGCCGGAAAAGGACTAATTGCATTTGAAACGAAAGCACATTATAAAGAAGTATGTAGAGCAAAACGTGGTAAAAATGTAAAGTGTAGTGGTAAGAAGGTGACACCAGTGTACATGTACATGTGTATCTGTGTGTTTGTGTGTAGAATGATGATGAAATTCAACGTACAGTAGATGCAAGGAAGTTTCATGAATTAAAAATATTATGAAATGATATTCATATTTTTCCATACTTTGTAGATTGTTGGTGGTTAACGGAAAAGGTAAAGAGGTTAGAATAAAAGCTATATTCCCAGTTAGGCGCCAGCGGATAAGTCGTACAAAAGCTTGAGAAAAGGCTTCATGTACAACTAAAAAGCTATTAGTTTTACCTCCTTCACAAGCGCCTTTTCTTTTATCTTTTTTATTTTTATTTATTTCATGCAACCTTATTTGGTGACGTACTACCTCTTTAGCAAATAAGATTCTAGAACTTTTTGTCTGTTTTTTTTTTAGTGAAGGATTATCTCGAGGAATGTTGTAAAGTACAATTAAAAAAGGATTTAAGTATGTAACACAAAACTGATTTTGTTCTTTCACCATGCAACCAATTTTTTCCCTTCTTTTCTGCTTTAACTTACATAGATCTTCGGAAATAAAGGAACAACCGGAAAAAAACCTCAAATATAAAGTATAATGGGGGCTCTTTGAATCTTTATAATCTCACCCAGAAGACATTTGTTACCCCCCCACCCCCCAAACCCTCTTAAAAATAGCTCTTGGACATTTTTTTTTTGTACCAAAGAATATCAATCTTTTTGTTTGTAGCTGTTTTTTTTTTAAAAAAAGAAAATTCTTTAGGATCAGCGATAATTTACGAAAAGTTCCTTCATTTACTAGTGTGGTAGCTTGCTTTGATAGTGAAGATGGAATATGCAATGCTAACAGCACTATCTACTTTAAACCCAGTTATAGTATTAAAAAAGTCACAGGTTTTATTTTCGATGCTTCTCTTTTTGACCTAATTTCGCTTTTTCAAAGTAGCTAGTTTTTGTCCTTTTGCAGCAAGAAAAATTAATTTAGGAAGTGTCACATTTTGTAACTGAAAGGCGAAAAATAAAAATAAATTAAAAATAAAAGGATAGGGAAAACAGGGAAACGTTGGAACAAAAGAACAAGGATAAAAGTTACATGTATCAATCCTTCCGTGAACGTTAATAGCCCAAGGAAGTGACGATTTCTAACTTGGGTGCTGTCCTATATGAAGTGATAAAACTCTTTTGATCTTTTTTTTCTTTTCTTTTCTTTTCTCTTTTCTTTTTCCCTCTTTCAAAAAGAATACTAAAAGGATGACGAGCAATGCCAGAGTATCGAACGAGCTGATCAAAGAAGAATTTATCATATGATATCTGTTTTCTATGTTGTTGAGAAGTGGCGAGAACTTTCACTCATGGCCATAATTGAACGTTAACTTAAGGCTATTGACTACTTCAAAAACTGATTTTTCTTTTTTTGTGAAATCTATCGCGCTGTACTCTTTACTCTCTATCACTTCGAGGGTTTGGCAAAGACTCTGGATACACTTCAACTTGTATTTTTACTACTTTTCTCGCTTTTTTTTTTCCTTCCAATTATTCCTTCTATCCGTGAAGAAATCTAGACTTTTTTCACTTTAGATACGAGGTACCTTCAAATGCTGACGCAAAAGACCCTTTTGACAATAGCATCATCGAGTCAAATTAATGTTTTTCCGAACTGAAGGAATAATTGTTATTATTTCTGTAGCACCATTGTTTTGTATCATGATTTTTATGTATCCATGAAAATCAATAATGCCAGGGGATGACTTGAATGTGGGTAAGGGCTCAAAAGGTCCAAAAAAACGTGTGTGTATCACCAGATGATTTTAGAAAAAAAATGATTCTTTACATAAGAATGGGTTATGCGTGAACCACCTAACCCTTTGTCAGTAACTACTGTCAAACTATTGTTCTTTGGCCCAATAATACCTTAACCTTTCAATACAAAAAGAAATATTCTATACAGAACACCAAAAGAGCAAAAAGTATACCACTGAGTTGAGTAAAGGTTGACTTTAATTTATATTATCAAAAACGCAATAAATGCAAGACTGCAAAAAGGGAAGATTGAGTCGCTTTCAATTCTCGAGTTCGTACTTAATGGAATTCACTCCGTAATGATAGGAGAAGGTGCTTCAAAGTGGAATTCAGAAAGAAAAGTTGTATTATTAAATAAAGATTGTCGGTTGATACAGCAGTTGATAACTTTATAAAAATTGCGTCTTTGTTATGGCTTAGGTATTGTATTAAAGAATTATAGCCATTATTAATAAAGACTTGAGTTTAGAATCGTATATGGGGGCGTTTTGGGGCAGAAGTATGTGCTATGCCAAAATGTGCCATATATGATTTGCATACTTTCTGTTTATACCACCACCCACCCACGCACTTTCTCTCTCTTCCTTTTCTTACTTGGGGTTGTTTTATTTTTGTTTTTTTTTTCCTTCCTACACAGGCTAGACAGCAATAGATATTTTTGGCTTGTACTTTTATTTAGTCAATGTTGTTCATGTTATTGTATACTCTGAATATACACTTTATAAATTCATTTTTCTTTATACACGGGGTTCCCTTTTTTTCTCCCCTCATTTGTGTATTTTTTGTCATCACTTCGGTCTAGTTCGGGACCATATTATATGTACATCTTCCACAATTGAGAAAATGTGACAAAACTTAATATTATTTTTTTCTTTAAAGAAAGTAGAATCTGGCGCGGAGTACCGTTTAAAAATTTCTGCTTATTTTCGTATAATAAATATAATTTCTCCAACTATTACTTACTGCTCGAAATTTAAAGTTAAACTATAACTGCTTCTCGAAATTGAACAACAGATAAATGCAGAACCCAAGGGTTTTAAAGGAATATTCACGGAGTTCCGTCATAGGATGATTTACTTTGGGCGAATTATTTTGTTATCAAAAAGTCTAGGTTGAACAGAGATTTTCTAATCAGTTAATCAACAAAATAGTATTTTCCTGTTGTCATGATTGTCGAGAAGGGAAACTAAAAACGAAACTAAGTTCAAGATTTTAAGTGAATTAAAAGTATTTGCCACCCGCATTACGCGGCCCCACAATCTGGTCAAACAATTTCTCCACATTCATTGGCCACATCCTGTTGCCCTCTTATTTTTAGTCTACTTATAGTGATACTAAGTTTTCTCCCCAAACTGAGATCTCTGAGGTGGGATCATGTAATAATTGGGTGGGGGGTGGAGAATTAAGCGGAGGTTAGCGCCGTGTATGTGTTTGTTGAGGAAAAATGCTAAACTGGTAGAGGAAGAGAATGATGTAATAAAACCTATTGTGTAGAAAATCATGTAGCTATTAAAAATAACGTAAAAAGGGAAAAATTTTCTAAAAACCTTATTTCTAAATCCAACTGTTCTTGTAGTCTAAAAATAGTTCTCAAGTTTCTTTATTGGTGAATAGTAAAAAAGATTAAAGGGAATAAATTGCATTAGTACCAGTAATATTGTGAATAATAGACAAAATTAAAATGGTGGCCTGTACAAAGAACTTGGATATATTGAAAAACTATGTGCCACTTTATTGTTCCCACAAACGCCAAGAGCCAAATGAGGTAATTGTAGAAAATTGTAGAAAACTGTAGACAATTGTGTTATTTTGCTTGGTGCTACTTCATCCTTCCTACAGACACCAAAAGCCAAATAAGGCAATCGTAGAAAATCGTAGAAAATAGTCTCTTATTTTGTTGAGAGCTACAGTCACTTTCCTCGGACGAGGGATGAAGTTTGCAAACTTGCAAAACCAGTAGATATTTTTTAGTTTTTGAAAATCAGACTTCATTATGATAAGATACAGAATTGTAAATGGAAGCGGAAATATTACATTGGAAGATCCAAACCTTAAATTGGGGTTTATTGTTCAAGATGTTAGATTTAAGAATTAAAGTCAAGGCTAAGGCTTTTTTAGGCTAAGGCTTTTTTAGGCTAAGGCTTTTTTAGGCAAAGGCTTTTTTAGGCTAAGGCTTTTTTAAGGCTAAGGCTTGTTTAAGGTTGAGGGTTATTGTTTAAGATAATGGCCAGGCTGGAAAAAAGAAAAAACACGGAATTATGGAGAAACGGAAATTTGTATAAATTTTATACAAAATAAACTCTCGTTTAAAGTTTAATGTTTTTTCATTTTTTTTTTCATCTCAATCACGGCTTTATACATACTTTTAGTAATCATTAGGCCAGTGCCACTTTAGGTGTGCTTTTTCCTCATTACTATCAATACGCTAACTCCGTTGAATAATTGCTATAAAAATAATATTCAATTATGTGAATGTAAAATGATCACCTAGGAAAATCACTTTGTTTTCTTATTCTTGTTGAATCCAGAACGAATGGACTCGAATTGTGGCTTGGAATATTCAAACCCGTGTGTAACCAATACTGTTTCGTTGCGAAACTCGTGGGCGAGGTTCGAATTGGGCTTACTAGCCAACATTATTGAATCGAATCTCCAGCTATATCACCATGATTCTGACAACATCTGCAACCCAATCCCGTGTGTCGCACTCTATTAAACCAGATTGTACATATTCATCACTTTCCCATATAACCTTATAACAAATCCGGCTGCAAAATTAGAAAGCCACCCCACCCAACCCAAAGTGGCTAATGTTTTTTCTGTCCATTACTTTTATTGTCGCAAAATAATTGTCGCAATATAATTGTCTTCAAAGACAAAAAGAAGAAAAAAAAAAGAAATAGTATGCAGGATATTGGTTGCGCGGATGAATGTTTAACCTTTTTGGGATTTTACTCTTTGGTTCGACTAGTTGGGGAAGATCCGGTTGAGCTGAGCTAACCTAAAAAGAGTCAACTGGTCTATACAACAAGTTATGGTAGAGATAGAACCAAGACACGGTGACCATCATTACATAAATGTCAAGTATGGGTATATAATATTTGGCTTGTCGCTACTTCAAATCCTATACCTCATCGTATTCAAACTTTTATTCATACGACAATGGAAAAAGTCAGGAATATATAATAATGCCTTGTCTAAATTATCGTCGCCAGCTACATGGCCAATTATAGCAATATGGGTGGTTACTATTGCGGTTATTGCTCAATATCACATTGGAAGCTTTGCTCATGACTATATTGTCGTGGCAAAACGCTTGGGGAGAATAGCATATTCATTAATACCAATGAATATATATCTAATATTGAGATTCCCCAATTCTTTCAATTGGAATAGTGGGTATTATTTACAAAACTTGAATCAACACAAATGGTTGTCTAGAGTGATCTTTATATTATCCTTGTTACATGCAGTTGGATTCACTTATAAATGGATCAAGGAAGGCACTATTTCTAAATTTGTAAAGTTTTTCAATTTTTTGGGAGTTTTGACACTCTTGCCATTTATGCTATTGATCATTGTTTCTATTCGATATATGAGAAGAAAATGGTATTTTGGGTTTTATATCATACACAATATTACCTCTTGGTTGATGGTTATCTTAATCACTTTCCATGCAAGACCAGGAGTTTTACTATTTGGTATATCAAGTTTGATTCTTTTAGCTTTACAGCTATATCTAAGGTTTGCTAATGGTTATAGGGTTAACGCAACCAAAGTTATAGATGTTCCGCTGTCAAGCTTACAGATTGTTGAAATACCCACACCTCAAAATTTCCCACTCTGGCTACCTGCTAGTCACCTACGAATAAATTACCCGCTACTGAATGCTCGGAGTTGGATTGGTGCAACGCATCCTTACACAATTGCCTCGATTCACGAAGATGGTAACAACTCTTTAACTTTGATTACTAAAAAGACAACATTCCAGTTCATGCAGCATTTGGGTTATCTTATTACTGGACCATATCCCGCATTACCTCCACCTTTCTATACTAGTGCTCAAGTTGTCAATATTGTGTGTGGCGGGCTGGGAATTTCCTTTGGATTACCCATTTTCCAATTTTTCAAATCGTCAAACCACGAAGCAACAATTGTTAATTTAGTTTGGTGTGTCCGTAACAAAGCTGACCTTTTCATAGTAAGAAAGTTTGATTTGACAGGTGCGCAAATCTATGTTACTTCCCCAGTTAGTCAAGAACAAGAGGAGGAGCAAGCTAATATTCCCGAATTTGTCATTCACGATGAACACCATGAGGAAAATCATGGATTACTTGAAGAAAATATTGAATTACAAAGCATAAAGGGACAAGATGATGACGATGAGTTCGATAAACAAAAACCAGATTTCCTAAACAATAACAATAACAACAACAACAACAATTTCAAGTTTGGCAGACCTAAATTGGATGAAGTTTTTGCCATCGACAACCCAACAATAACTTACGATCCAAAATGCAGTTGGGTTTTGGCTTGTGGCCCTGATGGTTTAATAAAGGATGCCAAAATATGGGCAAAAGAGCATGATTACGAGTTTTTCTATGAGAAATATGAGATGTGAATATATAAACAAGGATGCCTTCTAATACCCACATTTTTTTTTTGTTTGCCCTCTTTCTGTCTTCCCCAAGGCAAACTTCTTTGTAGGTTTTGATCGACTGAAAAAATTAATAAATTGCTAAAAAGAGTTGAACCCCCCCCCCC